AATGCCAAAAAATATATATATATATATATTGGAGACGGAACAAAGTGTTTTCTTTGTTCATAAAGAAAGAAAAGATTTATATTTTTAAAAGTTTAGCTATCGACATTGTTTAATCGGCCGATAGTGAATTCGAGTTTGTACTTGCTATCGAGCTCGTACCAAAATATTAGAAGCAAAAAGAAACTGGAAAACTTTTTTTAAAAGCGTAATYTAGACTCATGGAAGTTAAACGAGACGACTCAAGATTTAAGAGATTGAATTCGAATATAAAGTCTGACAGTATTWTTAATAAACGAAGAAGATGAGCCGCGCAGATCACTTATTTTAAACAACGAATGCAGTGTAAAGCTAAAGAAAATCGCAAAAAGGCAAGATAACTTTTAAGTCTGACACTGTCACACCGTTGACTTCCACGGGTATTCATTGTAAACTTCTGAACGCTCACAGTTCTGGTATCTACTTCGCGTATACTGCGAGGATTAGCTCAATTTGATACTGTTAGAAAAGTTGTTTTGTTTTGTTTTGTTCACACTGTTAGAAAAGTCGTGAAAAGTGAACACGAATCGTTAGCTAAAGCGTTATCTTATGGCCAACCTTCTAACGTCGCGTTAGCAGTTTATATGAAATGCCAAGAACTTCGAACTCTTGTTATTCAAAAAGTCCTCGAGCTTGTCTCGAAAGAAATTACTGGGCTATACTCTAGAGCGCCAATATTTTATTCCTTTGAGCGATTTCCCATATCCAGTAGGCAGATTTTCAAAGAAATCTTGTTTTTCTTGTAATATCTTTCGTATAGCGTCTTTCTGATGATCATTAAACTGTTTGATGCGAAATTTCTTAGCTGCTATCTCGAAGCCTTTCTCTAACGACGCATCTTGTTTTCCATATGGCGCGAATGGTTCCTGGTTTTCGAGAACTAAGCCGTGATTGGTTAATTCATAGGAAAGGAATGTTGTGCTCGGGTAAGCAGCCGCTACTCAGGGGAGAAAACGTTGCGTGACGACACTGAAAGCGGCTGTGGGGGAGACTAAGATAGGCATGGACGTCTGTCAGAATATCTTGTTCATCCACGCTATACTCGGCTGCGATGCTACCTCTCGCATTTATGGTTTCGGGAAGGGGGCTTCTCTCAAGATGTTTCTGAAGTCGCCACACTTTCGCGAGGAAGCAAAGATCTTTCACTCATCAACTTCAACAAAAGAGGAGATTACAACAGCTGGTCATGACGCATTGGTATTCCTTTACGAAGAAAAATATGGCGAGAAGCTTGATTACCCAGATATACAATAAACTGTGCAAAGTTGGCAAATAGTACTTCACAGATTCGTCCTCACAGCCTCCCTCCTACTTCTGAAGCTACAAAATGCCACAGCCTAAAAGTATACCTCCAGGTCCAACARTGGAAAGGTGAAGACGGGAATATGGCACTATCGGAATGGGGATGGAAGATTAATGCTGGCCAAGTAGCACCTATCATGACTGATTAACTTCCAGCACTTGATCGATTCATTATTACGCGTCATCAGATGTAACTGCACAACCGACTGTAGCAGCAAGAGATGCACCTGCCGCAAACACAACTTGGAGTGCTCCGCAGCATGTGGTCAGTGCAAGGGATCTGGTTGCAGTAACTCTAACCAGCACCTTCTCGACATTCAATACGAGTCTGATTGAATATATACTTGTAAATACCTCACCCTCTCCTCGCCTCCACCCTAGCTCTCCCCATTCCCCGCTTCCCCTTTAAAAGAGCTTGACTACGCAGGCTAAGTCTAACAAACGACTTTGTGAACATGGCATGGTATTAAATTACAGCTGAATAATCTAGTAACTTCTTTAGTATTATATTAAGGAAATCCACGAAGCATGAAATAATATAATATTGTAGTGTATTGTAGTTGAATAGTATTAGTAGTAATGTTAGAAAAGCTGTAGAAAGCTACATCAAACCAGTTAAAGCAATATGAAATGTATAGAACATGATTAAAGAGAATAATTATTACAGATTGTAATATCTACAATATATTATAGATTGTAATATCTATGTACAATCTATCACTACTTACTCTTGGCCAAAACCGAACAATGGTGACTAGAACATCGAGTCGGTCAAAAGGATATGTTCGAAAAGACTTATAGGCAAGTGTTTTACCTTTATATTAAACTTTTTACGTATTCTGGCCCAAATCCAATCATAACGGTACCAATTAGAAGGTTAAAAAGAGTCGCTTCCGGTATGGAGCCTCGTTTGCACGAGAGCGTTTCCTTAAATCAAGTCGTTTTTCGAGATATTCCGTACTTCAATTGCAAAAGATTTTTAGTATGTTTATTGAGGTGGTATCAGTGACTGTATTTTGAAGAGAAAGCTTCTGTTGCAATTAGCTGAAGGTCAATTCATAAAATGACTGGACTCAGTACTGTGCCCTAAAACCGTTCAAGCCGTTGTAACAGCTGACCTTTTCGTGATCAAACGCTTAGTTGTAAATTGTATTCTAATCGTCCAAAACCCGAGTTTTGAGTAATTCGGTCGCAACTCAGATATTTTTAGTTTTCCTATATTAATTAAGAGGCAACGCTTCCAGAAATGTATTAGTTAATATCGGATAATCTTGATTATTGCACCATTCCATATAAAAAGGATGCATTGAGATAATTCAGTTAGTTAGTAGTGGAATTCAGTTTTAGAAGTTGCTTTTGGCCTTCCAATAAAAGTCTCTATCAGCAAATCACCCCGTAATACTTTCGTTTTATCAGAAAGAAAAAAAAAAAGAAAAAAATTGTTTATATAGATATACTGTATATTGTCGATAATCCAGAACTATCTTTATCATATGACCCGTATCTGCCCGGGCGCGCGCTCTTATAAAAACCTCTCGGGAAAATGGCGTGAGCAGGGCCGTACGAATTCGTACGGCCCTGCTCGAATCCGCGCGCTTCTTTTTTTAAAATCATTTTTCTTTTCGTGAGGGTCATATGATAAAATGCTTGCGCGAGGTCCTTACAAATGACCGAGAGCCAAATATTTTCCCGTACAGTCCGACCTAACTCAGTCAATAAGTACATAGTACGAACTTACAACTTGTACAAAGAATTGTATGTTGGCAGGCAAATTTTGCTGCCAACACACATTTCTTAATAAAATCAAATTACATGTTTAAAAAAAAACAAAAACCATATCTTCGTAGTTTACGTGCGATCTTCACAAACCTTTTTTTAATTTCTCAGTTGCAGTTAGTCGACTTTCTGTCATGGATCATTTTAATCATATTCTTGCTGGTGGTCCTCTTTATGGTAAGTTTATCCGGGTCAATATTTCTAAAAGAACAAAATAAAAGTAAACATGGGTATACTTAATCCATGATCCATCCTATAATCGATCACCTTATCATTCCTGTTAGAGTACCTGAAACACTAAAGTGATTTTATTTGTTCCTTGAAGCAAAGTTGTATAATACTAAGTAACTAACAGAGTAAAGTAAAACAAAAGAAGGCAATGGAGCTAGTGTCTAACTACTACTGTATTAAATATATTTTGTATTCTTTTACAACGGGCCAAGTAAATCACCATAAAAGCACGTGCAGTGCTTTGCACTTGAGTGATTTTCGTCAGACCGTGAAATCTTCTTTCAAAAGCTTTCTTTTGTGTCTATTAAACTATTACACACTTAATACTAGAAACATTTTTACGACCTGAGTAAATCGCTGCAGTATTTAACACCAAGTATAATATAATACACTCCAAAAAATTACTCGATTCTGATTGGACAAAAGGAGTACATCAATGAAATCATTAATTGTACTCTGTAGAGTCTCAATTAAGTTGCTCTATTTTGTTGAGTGTATTATAAACAAAAAATCGCACGATCTCCTACGATTGGGAATTGATAGGTATGAGTGATGTTTTGAAAGTTCTCAATTTGCACTGGCCAAAAGGTTCGTCCAATTTTGAAAACTTTCAAAACATCACTCGTACCTATAAAATCCGAATTGTATATGAAAAGCTAAGATCGTGCGCTATCCTATAATTGTTTTAAAAAATGGCACTTTGAATAATTTAGTACTATTTACTATTTTACTATTTAGGTTGCATGCTTCAATCTTTTTCTAATTAATTACTGTAAAATCCAAAAAAAAAAAAAAAGTTAGCATTTTCATTTTCATTCCAATAAGGTGTACCAAATTGCTCAACTGAGCAATGACAAGCAAGAGACTGGTAATCCAGTCGAAACAGCCGTAAGTCATTTTGCTACTGGTTAYATATATATTTAGTAAAAATACACAGATGATTATTGAAAATCTCGCGCGCTGATTGGTCGAGAAACTCACACTATCACACGATATTAAATCACCTCCAGCTATAATCCAAAATGGCGGCCAGCCGCTTTGTTGCTGTTACCGGAAAAAAAGTCTTTTATCTCCCCCCCTCCCCTTTTTTCGAAAGAATCACCTGTGTAATGCTAATAGTTGTTAATTATTGTAATGTAAATAATTGTTAAATATTGAATTTGTAAGCGATCATATCATATTTTTTATTTACAATTTATATATTATCTATTTGTCATTGAATATATTATACACCTTAATGATTATATTATATTTTTATGAATATAGCATATTTTTTTGATATTATATATTTTATTATATCTTTATTGATTTATTGTTTTTTAGCTGATTATATTACGGTTTTTACTTTTTTTATATTATATTCTTACATTGTATATTTTTCAATAGACCAGTTTCGAGTTCCAAATTACCGCTGTGTTTCTTGATTACAGACTCATTTGCACAGGGTTAGCCTCGAGTTTGTGCAGAATATTCACGTGTTCCAGCCAAGGTCCGTCGAGTTTCAAAGTGTTTGTATTGTTGAAGTTGTGCATTCTTTACTTTATCGTTGGTATTTGTGAATATTTAGACACTGATACGAGGCTAACCCTGTGCAGATGAGTCTGTAATCAAGGAACACAGCGGTAATTTGGAATTCGAAACTGGTCTATTATTACTTATACTATTACTGATAATATTATATTTTTACTGAATATTTCATATTTTTAATGATTATATTTTATCGATTATATTATGGTTATTTCTATTGATTATAGCATATTATATTTTTATTGATTACATTCTATTTTCTGAGTTAGTAATAAATATTATTAATATTAGTAGTAGTATTATTAATTGTATTATTATTATTATTAATTTCATTTTTAATAGGTCTTAAGTACAAACAAAAATGGAAAAATCAATCTATCAATCAATTAATTAATCAATCACAGTATTAAAGTATTTTTTCCTGTGTTCCGTAGGATGAGCCTCCATTGGAAAATGATCCTGTTCAGGTTTGTGTATAAATGTTATTGTTTTAACATTTCTAGTTCGCATTTTTAGTACTTGATAAGGGATCTTTTCAACTGAATTTCAAACTGATCGCTAATTACTGAGAATGAAAATTTAAAATTATGATTTGAGCTTTAAAAGATGTATAAAGATTATTACACATTTAGGTTTGATATCAGTGAGAGTGAGTAATGGTAATTAAACTAAGTGAAGCGCAATTTGGTCTGCCAGCCAAACGAGTGATTACAAAATTGCACGACCGCGTAGGGAGTGCAATTTATTAATTACCATGGATTGATTCCAGACCAAAATTGTACGACAAGAAGTTCAATTACCACTTATTAATCATATCTTTTTTGAGATGTCTAGCAATCATGATCATTTTAACACTTAGTATTAATGTAAAACTTAGTCGAAAAACTGGTCTTTCACCTAGAACGTTTCCTTCAATTTTTTTCTCATGCTTTTTTAGTTTTTGTGTGTGAAGTGATTGGTCAAATGAGGTTTTCTGCAATTTCATTGGCTCTTCAGAACAGTGCAATTTAAAACTTAATCATTGTGCGATTCATGATTACATCGCTCTACTGAGAGCCAATCATATTGCAAAAATCACCAGTGATTTTTGCAATATGATTTTTTCTCATACATTTTTTTATTTTTTGCTTTTTTTCTTGTTACTTTTTTTCTTCTGATAGCTTAAATGCTGTTTTCTGCAATTTCCTGGGCTCAAAATGGTGTATTCGCGAATAAATCGCGCTCCTGAGACAATTAGATTGCAGAAATCATCAGTGATTTCAAAATGGATATAATCAACGGCTTTATCACACTGATATCGAACCTAAATGTGTAACAATTTCTTTATTTGCATAAGATATTTCAATATTTGGTACCTTTTAGGGCGTTTAAATAAAAAGCTAATTACAACGTTGTAAAATTGGATCATTTGGTAACAATTAGGGGTGAAACTTGCCACTGATAGAATTACTAGAAAGAAATTTTTGGTACCTTTTAGGAGTCATTATTAATTTCAATTCCGAAGCGCATCCCCGCCCTTCTATATATGGAGTCCCACTCCTCCCTCCCTCCCTCCCTCCCCTCCCAGCCAGCCAGCCAGCCAAGTAGTATAGGCCGCACCGCACGGGCCGGATTTTTGCGGAGAATTTACTAATTTTGCGGAGGATTCGAGTATATTTGCGGTGGATTTAATTATGTTCTAATACGTCACGCATTACGTGTATCATATGCGGTGGATTTAATTATGTTCTAATACGTCACGCATTACGTGTATCATATGCGGTGGATTTAATTATTTTTATTACTTATTACCATAAAATGACGGGTAGGTATTGTGAAGTTGCCATGACGAACAATTGACGCCATGAGTTTATTGTTTGACAAGTTTGGACAAGT